ATCAAAAGCTAATTTCTACCAGTCATTGAAATGCCAATCCGACAAGTATTCTTGTTAGACTCTAGTGGTCTATTGTTTGTGCAAGATCAGATCTATTGAGGTACAACTTTGCTCCCTAGGAAAAGGAAAGAAAATACGTCCTACCATAAATGTTTTGGTTGCATGAGTAAGGGTGATTTGACATCTCTTATATAATTTATTTTTTTTATTATATTATTTTTTTATTTTTTTACATGTCTTTTTATAAAAAGATAAAAAATACATTTATTTAAATCATTCCACACAATCAACATCTATTAAAATTTGAAAACAAAAAAATATAATAAATTTTATGATTTTAACATAATTATACTAAGTTTTTTCAAAATTTTAATTCAAATATACTTGACTCACTCTTCATCGAAAATTCATTAGTTGTATGAGATAAAAAAATAACATTAATATCTCTTTTACATTAAAATATATATTTTACCTTATGTATCTTTGTGTTTCCATACCATCTGTATTAGTTTTGATCTATTTAATCCTACTAAAAGGAAGGTCAATATATTTATGTCAAAATTATGAGATTTTGTATTTTCTTTAAACTTTAAAGCAGGTCAGTCTAATTTATCTTATTTTTAAAATATATATTTCATGAAAAACGTAATATTTTTATTTTACGTTTATAGTATAAAAGTAACTTTGTAAGTTTAAATAAGGGCAAATTACACCGGTATTCCTTATATTTAATTCTTTATATTATTTTAGTCCCTACATTTTTAATTGACTTAATTTTGACCCATAATTTTAAATTTTATTTCAATTTGGTCTAATTAATAATATCGTTTGTGTTTCTTAAGAAAAATTATCACTAAATTAGTTGATGTTAACTAAATGAGTTGAGTAAATTTATAATTTTGTCTTTAAAAATATAACACATGTTACTTATGTGTGTATTTTCCATAAAAAAAATGTTAAGTTGTAATCCGTTAGACCTAATTGAGACAAAATCGTAAAATCAAGGTTAAAATCGAGTCAATTGAAAGTGCATAAACTAAAATGACTTAAGGGATTAAGTACATGGATAACCGTCGTAATTTTCCCTCTAAATAATTAGCTAAATAAAAAATATATATTGTTAAACTATACACTAATTAAAATAAGCATAAATTACAAATATGAGAGCTACTAATAACACTCATAATTAATACTTCCGACTCCCCTATGTTTTTTCCCCACTTGTAAAATTCAAAATTGAAAAAATTTCTTAGAACTCCCCACATAATACCAAAATTATCTTTCTAAAAATACTACACCCACCAAAATGCACACCCCATTACCATTAACACACCCCCCTCTTAGAAACCCTTCAATCTCCCAAAACCTTAACAGTTCACCCCGCCCAAAACTACTTGAAAATTGACCTCTCTCACCGTCTACTTCACTGCGTTGTTGATCTCTCTCTATCGTCGATCTCTCACCACCGACCTCAGCATTGAACCTCATGGCAGCAAACTTAGATTTGTTCCAAAATCTGTTCGACATTGAACTTCCCAACAAATGGAATTAGTTTAGTTAAACCTTGTCGAATTATTGCCTCTCATTCAGCCTTGTGTTGCCATTTTTTTACATATGTTTGGGGGTTCAGTACTAAAAAATATCAAACCATTTTCATTAATTATTTTTGTGTGTGTTCGAAAAAACTCACCATTACAAGGTCAACCTCTTCCGAGCTGTAAACCTCCTTTGAGTTAACAATATTGATGATACAGTTTGTTCCAGTGAATGGATTGGATTGGTCCAAGCTCCTCAAGCCCACGTCCAAATGGTCAAGCCCACCGGATAACCTGCAAACAAGTTCTACGGGGAACTAGGTAGTCCCCCAGTGAACTCTCCGACGAGTAAGTTAGGAAGAGAAGTAGAGTGCAGATGGAGAGATTAGAGATAGAAAAGCTCAACATTCTTCTTGTCTTCAACGTTTGCTTATATCCTTTGGTAATCATTTCGCTGTCCCTTCCGACCTGACCTCCTCCCCGAAAGTCTATGCTGTAGCTTACCTTGTTTAGGGTAAGGGGGTCCTGTTCCGACGGAGAGGTGTTGTCGTAATAAATGCTGTGATGGGCTGCATTAATAGTGATGTGCAGTGGCAATAATTTTGCAGATCTTTGTCTACTGATGTGGCTCATCCTTCACCTGCCATGTGTCTGAAAGTCATTGGCTCTTTATGCCATGTTGGATTCCAGTTGTCCTGGACCTCACCAGCTGGGTTATGTATTGGGCTCCAAGTGATAGGCTTGGGTTATTCATAGTGATTCATGGCCTTTATGGGCTTATACACGTCAGTAGTCCCCCATTCCCGAGTGCAGCTTTAGTCCAACGAAGGAAATACTAATGAAGAAGATGAGGGTGTTAGGGATTGGCAGGATGGAGGTCAACCAGCAGGGGTGACCGAGAGGGTGAACCGATCGGGAGGTGGTCTAACCGTGCAGGGTGACCGAGTGGAAGGGCCGACCATGAAGAGGGCCGACCACAAAGGTTGGCCGAGTGGGAGGGTCGACCACGAGGAGGGCCGACTACGAAAGGGGGCCGACCACGGAGGTTGGCCAAGTGGGAGCGTCGACCACGAGGAGGGCCGACCGCGAAGGGTGACCGAGTGAGAGGGTCGACCACGAGGAGGGTCGACCGCGAAGGGTGACCGAATGGGACGGTCGACCGCGAAGGGTGAGGTGGAGGGGCGTGGGGCTCGAGAGGCGGCGTGTCACGTAGTGATTTGAAGTGAAAAAGAAAGGGTAAGGGGAGGAGACAGTGGATCATGGTCGTACACGTGGCGACATCCCGCCGGGGGGGAGGGAGATTAGGCGTTAGAGCAGAAGTGAAACGATAGGTCATCATGGGTGTTGAAAAGACAGTTTTGGCGGATGATTTGAAAAGTTTTCAAACTGGCGAAAACTAATTGGGATCCTTGAAATACGGGCAAACTGTGGGCTTTTGGCATTATTTGATTCACCTACTTGTTTACGAAAAATCAAAATATTCCTTTTGGCATTATTTGATTCACCTACTTGTTTACGAAAAATCAAAATATTCCAAGTGTGAATTCCTTTGTTGCTCACGATACACCTCTGCCACACTTTTTCAATTTCCTTGCACCTGCATCCGAAGCGATTTGCAGACATATCATAGAAATGGCCCAAGAAGAAGCTGCGAATGTCAGGGTGGATCCACTTGGTGATGATGATGCAGTGGAGTTAGCGCAGTAGTACAGGATGGAGAGGGTGGGGGAGTTGGTGGTACGATCCCATGGTTCCACCATGATAGCAGCTCCAAGGCCAATCAGCCAGGCAGAACCAGATCATTGGCATACAAAGGCAGACAGGTCCATTCTTACACCGGCGGAGTTGGAAGGAATAAGAGGGAAGTACCAGATTCCTTTGGAAATAGGGTTGAGGTTGCCGACATCTACCGAGAGGGCGTCGGATGTACAGCCGGGGGAATTTAGCTTGTACGAGGAGGCATTGCGGGGAGGTGTGAGGCTACCGCTGCCTCAAGTTGTGGTTGATGTGTTGAATAAACTAGATGTGGCGCCAGGTCAGTTGATGCCAAACACTTGGAAAATATTGATAGCGTGCGCGAGTTCCTGGCCGTAAGCAACGGGAGGGTTGGCCTTGACGATAGATGAGTTCTTCTCGTGCTACAAGGCCTCCGGCCAATAGGACACTTGGGTTACACTGCAGATGGTGGCTGGACGAGGTCTGGTGGCAGGTCTACCATCTTCGGTAAAAGGCTGTAGGCCAAGGTGGTTCTTTGTGATGGCAAACGGCGGGGCGGGAGTTCGTACAATTTGGAAGGTGCCTACCTAATCGGTCGAGCCCAAACTGGACAAGGCGACTGAGGACCGAGTGAAGAGGGTGAGGGATTGGAGGGAGGAGAAAGGAGAAAGGTGGGACGAGCTTGTCCTACCGTCGGTTTTGTTTGCCTTAAACTTGGGACCGCAGCCGTTGGGAGGGGGTCCAGAAAGGGAGGAGCTGGAGGTGCAGAGGAAAGCGGAGGAGGAGGAGGAAGAGAGGTTGTTCGCGCGGGCAGACAAGTATAAGGAGTCCCAACTGGGGCCTGCTCCGAAGCCGGTCGCGAGAGAGCAGATCCGACTGTGCCCCAAGCCTTTGGGGGAGAAAGACTTAGGCAGTTTTGTGCCCCGACCGCCCCCAGTGGATCCTGTGAAGGAATAGGCGAACAAGGAGGGGGATGCTCTGAAGAAGAAGAAGAAGAGGGTAAGGAGGAGTCAAGAATAGCCTATCTTGAAGAGGAGGAGGGAAGTGATGGGCGAAGAGACCAGCATGGCCAAGGAGGCAGAGAAGGGAGCAGTGGAGGAGACCTCAGGAAGGGTTGCTGCCCAAGGAGTGGTGGAGGTCGTCCCCACAATGGAGGTTGTGGAGATCACCCCAACAGTGGTGGAGATCGCCTCAGGGGTAGCGAGGGTCGCTCTCGAAGTGCAGGTAGAAGGTGGGGCAACTGGCCTTGAGCCAAAGTTAGGAGAACAGCCCCAGGGGGGTCCTGCACCCTAAGGAGGGGGGGTCGGTCTGACGACTGTGATCTAGCACGCTCGCGTAGTGGCTGGGCGGCTGGAGGGAGAAGAAGGCCCAGCTAGGGCAGGTGCAGATCGCCTGCTGGCGATTGTGGAGGAGGCGGCCGTGCACTCAGCAGCCAGATTCAATGAGGCTGAGCTGTTGAGGGGGTTATACTCTACTCAAATGGAGGTAACCACCTTAGCAGGGGCTTTGCTGAGATAGGCGGGGGCTGCAAAACTCAAGGCAGATGAGGCCAAGACGCAGTTTGCAAAGTTGAAGAAGGAGAGTGCAAGTCGGGAGAGTTCCCATGCTGATCTACAAGCGGTCAAGGTGGAGCTGGAGAACACACGCCGCTAGGTTGTGTCGCTCGAGTTCCAACTGGCTGGCGGGCAGAAGAGGTTGGATGAGGCCCAAAAAGCCTGTGCGGTCGCGGTCGAACGACATGAAGAGGCGATGAGCAGTAATGAAGAGTTGGTCAGGCAGAAGGATGAGGCAGACATGAAGACTGACGGTCTGCAGAAGGAGCTGGAAGGTGAGCATGCTAAGGCAGTGGAGGAGAAGGAGAGCCTTCAGAAGGAGTTGGAAGCAGAGAGAGCCACGGTGGCTGCTGAAAAGGAGAGCCTTCAAAAGGAGTTGGAGGCAGAGAAAGCCAAGGCAACTACTGAAAATGAGAGCCTTCAGAAGGAGTTGGATGCAGAGAGAGCCACAGCGGCTGTTGAAAAGGAGAGCCTTCAGAAGGAGTTGGAGGTAGAAAAAGCCAAGGCAACTGCTAAAAATGAGAGCCTTCAAAAGGAGTTGGATGCAGAGAAAGCCAAGGCAACTGCTGAAAGGGCGACCCTGGATAAGGAGTTGGCGGAGGAGAGGGCTAAGGCAGCCTCTGAAAGGGCGGCTTACCCCGATCTGTATGTTGCAGCAGTGGACCAATCCAAGGGATTTGCTGAATTTCAAATAGCAGTGGATGCCGCAGTCGCCAGTAGCTTGGCGAGGGAGGAGTCTGGGGGGTCGGGTCTGTCGAGGATGACCGCTGGGGGAAGGACTGAGGCAGAAGTGATTGAGGGCTTCCAGCGGTCAGACTTTTATAAGCACGAAATGGCTGAGTTCTGGGACAGTGGTTGGAAAATGTTCAAGCGTAAATCTGAGGAGCTGTTCCCAGACTTGGACCTGAGTAGTGTGAAAATCGACGACGACGATGTGGCCCAGACCCCCCTTGATGAGGGTATTGAAGAAGAAGACCTTGTGTCCAGTGAAGAGGAGTAGTTTGAAGAAGAAGAAGAAAGCCTTGCACAGACCTTGTGCGTTTGTGTTTGTTTTGTTTGTTGTTTTGTTTTGAATGGCTGTAATGAACTCATGTACAAATTTCTGAATAAATAAAATTGTAATTATGTTTTTATTTGATTGTCTGTGCTTGTGCGACTGAAATGAATGAGGCGTGGGCGAGGCGTGTGTATAACTCATTGTGAAATGCAAAGTGGAGTTAAACTTATAATAAGAACTAAATTTAAGAACTCCTAAGTGTAGAGTGAAATTGAAATTGTAATAAAAACTCAATGCAGGGTAAAGTTAGGAACTTCTCAATGCAGAGTGAAATTGAACTTGTAATAAAAACTCAATGCAGAGTAAAGTTAAGAACTTCTCAATGCAGAGTGAAACTTAAAATGTAATAAAATTATAAGTTTGTGTTTGCCACACTACTGAAGTATATTAGTGGTATATTGGAGTGGGGCTTGGCTTGTAAGGAAACAGGCTGACTTGTAAGAGTTTGATTGAGAAGAAAATAACCTGACTTGTAAAGAAAACGTGTAAGAACGTCTTTGGAATTTGACTAAGCAAAGAGTGGTGTAAAGACTTGGACCTGGAATTATGACTAAGTGTGTTTACTAATTCCACAAGCATGAAGTTTGCATAGATGGTTTTGATTGAGCCCTACACGCGTGCTCAGTTGGGGCTAAGTTATGATTCACTGACGTTGTAAGTAACTCAGTTTGAACCTGAAATTGTGGCGCTCGGTCCGGCTGAGACTTGTTATGCTTATGCTGGCGGAGGCTTGGTCTGGCCGAGTGCTTCATGCTCAGTTTGGATGAGGCTTTTAGTGCTCAGTCTTGATGAGGCTTTTAGTGCTCAGTCTGGCTGAGGCTTTTTGATGCTCGGTCTGGACGAGGCTTTTTAGTGCTCAGTCTGGCTGAGGCTTTATGATGCTCAGTCTGGCTGAGGCTTTTCATGAGTGCTGCAATCAAAATGTCATTGAGACACCATATAGATAACTGAGATATATAAGTGTTGGCGGGGAAAGTGTAACCCAGTTAATCAAAAAGTTACATTGTGTAAGGGGATATCAAGAATGTGTAAATTTGTCGAAAAGAAAATACAATAACTGAGCAATACAAAAGTAGGAGCTTATTGAAAGTAACGTTTCAGGTGTTCGGTGTTCCATGGGTGGGGGAGGTCTCGACCTTCCATGTCCTGAAGTCGGTAGGTGCTCGGACATGGTCGGGCTTTCACAACGTAAGGTCCCTCCCATTTGGCTGCCAGTTTACCCCCAGTCGGATTTTTGGTGGCAAGAGTTGCTTCTCTCAAGACAAGGTCGAACTCCCTTGGTTGGACTTTGTGGTTATAGTGTGTTCTCATTTTCTGTTGGTATGAGGCCAGTCTGACAGTGGTGGTCTCTCTGAGTTCTTCAATTAGGTCCAAGTCTGCCCGACGAAGCTCTTCGATTAGTGCTGGATCCGGATGTAAACCCAGGGAGTAGGCAGACCGACTTTTATTGGAATGACTGCCTCAACGCCGTATGTTAAGCGGAAAGGGGTTTCCCCAGTGGGAGTCCGAGCTGTAGTTCGGTAAGCCCAGAGTACATTCGATAGTTCCTCAGCCCAAAGTCCCTTAGTAGCTTCTAGCTTAGTTTTGATGATCTTTAGGAGAGAACGGTTGGTGACCTCAACTTGGCCATTGGCCTGGGGATGACTGGGGGAAGAGAAACATGGTTGAATCTGGAGGTCGGCATAGAACTTCCTGTACTTGGCGTTGTCAAATTGTTTGCCGTTGTCGGAGACGATGGTCTGAGGGATGCCAAACCTGCAAACGATCGACTGCCAAATGAACTTGGTGGTGTTCCGCTCGATGATGGTGGCAAGGGGTTCTGTCTCTACCAAGGTTCTGAAAAGCGGTTGCGGTCGCCGTAACGGTGGCGGTGACGCGGTTGCGGGTTGCGGGGTGTAAAGGCCGTAGTGTAACGGTTGCGGTAACCGGAACCGTGAATTTTTTTATTTTTCGCACAATTTGAAAAAAACTTACCGATACGCATATTTTTTTTCTATGATCATATTTATTAGGTTAAAATAAATATTGATCAATTTTTATAAATTTTTAAATATGATTCAATATATTTCATATTTTTAAATCACTATAAACTGAGTTTTTTACATTTTATTTTAATAATTAATAACTTTATATTATACAAAAAATCAATCACTAACTATTATATATAAGATAAACAATGACAAAAGTAAGAGAATAAATAAGAGCCTAAATATATATATATATATATATATACATCTTTTAACCAAGCCAAATAGATAATGACCACACTTATTATTATTATTATTATTATTATTATTATTATTATTATTATTATTATTATT